TTGCAGATTTTTCACAGCGATGACAAGGAATAAGGCAGGGAATAAGAACCAGGGCTCTTATATGTAGTCTTACGCTCTGAGCTAATGAAAAAGGTGAGTTTTTCAGGATCGAAAACATGACTTCAATTTCGCCCTGTGAATGAATATTATCTGCTCGCGCTGGTTGTACGCGTAATCATTTGCGTTTGTTCTGTAAAGAAAAGTTGTGTAAGAAAACTCTTTACTCTGGTATCGAGTTAATTTGTGAGTTTCCCAAACAATGCTTAGTCATAAACAAAACCTGTTTTGATAGTTTCTTATTGTTTCTGTTTGTTTGGCGAGTTTGCAAAAGTTTTTGAAAGGAAAGTCTGAGGCATACAAGTAGCTCATTTGCATAGTGCAGCGCGTGCACTTTCAAGTCCGAGTCTTTTGTTTTCAATTGTCAACAAATCTTGACAAAGATCTCTTTCGTTGTCTTTTGTGCCGAGATGCCGCAACAATTTTCACCAACGCCAAAAGCCTACTAACATCAAGTGTGTTTTTTTAACATAGTGAAATTTTACACTGCGAAAATAAAATAGACAAGGAGTTTTGACAACTCAACCAACAAAATCAAAATCGTTATTCGAGTTCATTAAAGAAAGCGTCATCGTAATTTTACCAATTATTTCTGTTCTATTCACATAATTATTTTCATCTAAGCTTTTAAAATGTTCTCAAACATCTATCAACGCTTAAACATATTTGAAAACTAGAGTTCGACGGACGTTTTCACACGAAAGTGGGGAAGTCCAAACTGTCATGTTTGACTGACTGTACAAAACACGAATTTTCACTTATTGGGCCTTGATAAAACATCAAGCATTGCTTAACATTCAGGCGAAACTCAAACTTGCCATTATTATTATTATTTTTTTGCTTTTCGGCCTAGATAGACTGGCGAAAACCTCGCTAGCGTGTGGCAAGAGGAGGGAAACTTTACAGTCGTGAAACGCTGCTATATCCAAATATATCTAAATAGTTTCTTGCTGTGCTTTGGAAAAGCTGTTAATCGTCAACATATGTGAAACTTTGAGTGGAGTAATGTAGAGCTCTTGTAAAGGAAGCAGCGGAACACGACTTGGTCATTGATATAAAGCGGCACATAACTAAATTTAACACTGTCTTACTTCACTCAAACTGGTGCAGCTTACGACCAAAATACTGAAGTAAAATTGCAACAGACATGAACGTATTGAGTTGTGGGCAAAAAGTATCAAACATTTCGGAATTTCGGACGCCATTTCCCCGCGCTACATCCGCAAAAGTCCTCGCAGCATGCACGCGCGTGTGTCGCACGGGATGGCGCAATTTGTTCTAAAAATAGAAAAATTGTCCCATATCATAGGGACAGCCCCAATCATGAAATGGCGCGCACTTACGGTCTCCGTCCCCGATTATGGCTCCTGATAGAGCTTATTTAGGTCGTATTAACTTTGAGCCTGTTCTGTCTGCTCTGATGTCGGGAAGAAACCAATAAGTCGCGGGGAAAATAATTTCCCTGAGAAAGGAGGGTTACATGCATGTATTGCGCGAATATTTTATAACATGGTCAGTTATTATTAGGTTTAACCTAGTGCTCAACGACTCAAGTACAAGGTCCACTTGTGGTTTTCGATGTGTTTAACTACGAAGCGCACATGAACAAATTCACGAGATGTATGGCAGACAATAAAAAAAATCCTTTTTGTTTTATCGTGAATGAAAATCAAACGTGTCTGCGAAACATTAATGTACTTCAGACGCCAGAGCGTTACGGAAAATCGATTTTATCAGGCAGGAAGACTTAGCTTGAGAGCAAGATACCCTTGATAAATAATACATATTTTGGCTCAGGTAGAATTTCTTATTTTCTACATTGAAAATCAGTTCATTGTCAGTTCAAGAATGGCATAGATTTTAGCGAAATGATAATAGCCTAGGCCGAGGCAGAAGGAGGCACAAGCCACAACGTTTACTGAATTCTGTTAGCCGATGAAACTTCAGTCAATTCCTTGAAAGGATTTATTCAGGAAAATATTCATATTCATCCTTCTGCGGGTGTGTCAGGAATTATTCTAGATAGTACTGCAACAAAGGCATTCTACCAAATGTCATGAGCCAATCATTAAAAAAAAAAAAAAAAATAGAAAGTATGGAGTTTAATATAGAATTAAAAAGACATGCACTTTATATTCACTCTTTTCAAGCATCCTTAGATAAGTAAACTTATAATACATAGATTTAGGCTAGCCTAAAAGTGTAGCTCCTGGGCCGGGTTGTTCAGAGCCCGATTAAGCTTACCCAGTAAAAGGTACAGTTTTGATTTGAGTTTCGTAACCTTGCGCTGAGGTTTACTGTATATTGTTTGGCTTTCTGTTCAGAGTTTTAATAATCACTATATACACAAAACAAAGCAGCAAAAAAACATTTGTATA